TGCTCTTGGCAGCATCTACAGTTCAAGCATTTTTTAGAACACCAATTTGGTCTTAGTGCTCTAGAATCACTATATTGTAAAATTCCTTAAGGGACTGGTAGATATGTTAGGCCTTCTGTTACCGTATATTCTTTCCTGGTGAAGGAAACAGTAATAAGCCTTGATAAACTAGCTTCCCTAAGGGATGTACTTAACTGCCTCTTAATGGAATAATATTTGTCACTAATATTCAACAGTCTTCAGCTGACCTACAGTTAATGTTAGTTCAACAGGAGATGCTCCTTAATGTGCAGGAACACTTCACATTTATTTAAGGCAGGCAGAGATGCTGGTGGTGCAGCAAAGTCTATGATTCATTAGTATTTGTGCTCTTGGACTGCCATCATGTGAAGGATGTCTGTGCCAGAACCAGTTTTATTTTAGATGTGAATAATCCTGTAACATCTGGAACTTCCATATTAGGACTGACAGAGTTAAAATTAGGTTGTCCAAACTCTTAGAAACTCTGGTTCCTTCAGGCTACCCATGAAGTCAAATGGCTTCTCTTGCAAAGGTGGAATCCTGTTTGTCTCCAAAGGCTGAGTACTGGTATAATAATTTAGCTGAAATGACAGCTTTTGACTCCTTTATAAACAATGGAAAGAACTTCAGAAGTTTCAGGACTCTGGATAGATTTTGAAATCACTGGAAGCTGCAGGTGCTCAGCCCCTTTGAAAACCAGGGCAGCGGTCTTTATTTCTCTTACATACAAGCTAATCATTACCTTTATAAACATTCTTTAAAATTAATAAATATTTAATTTAAAAAGAGAAATTATAGTTACTTGCAACATTTTGACCTCAGTACCTTCAGAAAAGACCACTTGCCTATACCTTTTACCTTTAGCTTCATTTATAATTGCTGTATTTTTGCATCTGTGTTTGTGGATTCCAGACATCTGCCTTAGAACCTGGTGTATTTGTGAAATTATTTGTGTTGCAAGAAAAATGTTGCTTTTGTTCATAAATGTTTGTAGGAGGCCAGAAAAGATGACAGAGGGAAAGAAAGAAGGAAATCTAACATCACCTACTTGAAACCATCTCACCCCTCTAAAGCCCATTGACAGAAGTTTTTTCCGTTGACTTCATAGAAGCCAACTTTGAGTCATGGTGTATGTTACTTTAAGCACAGTTGATTTTGCTTTTTAAATGGTGGAAAAATAAAGACCTATCTGTGATCATCACTGTATTAAAAGGTGGGGGGGGGGAACCTGCCTATGCCTACTGTCTAACTAGAGCTGAAAAGGCACTTAACAGCCAAAAAGATTTAATATAGTGGGAGAACTTTAATAGCTAGTTAAATAAATCAGTGTCTTATCTGAGCCTTGACAAGTTTCTGATTTAACGAGCTGAACACACTTTCAGCTGTTACTAGTCTATGAGTTTTAAGATTTAACAAAACCATACTTGATTTGGCAAGCTAAGATTTTTTACTTATTTTTATGATTACTATACAAACAGTCTATTATATTTCCCCCGGCTAAAAGGATGGTCATCTCAGTTGATCCCACAGTAATTTTTTGCTTGGATTGTCTAGGAAAGCGAAATCAAGGAATGTTAAATTTCTTAGTCAGCTGTCCAGTGAAGTAGGCTAAACTGAAACAAAGCTACTAAGAGTGAAGTAATATGTCATTGGTTAGGCTAAAACTTACATTTTGTTTCTTTTTACTCATCATTTTTAAGATGAATGTAATCGGTTGTCAAGGCAGAATTACTGGGTGATAAATATGTGCTGTTAAAGGCAGGCATAGCAGTTACAATGAAATATCACCAAATACAAATGCAATTATGAAGGAAAATAATTTTGAGTCATGATATTGATTTGAGCCAGATTAGAAAAAGAGCACTGCTGTTACATTCTCTGTAGACCCAGACTTGACATGGAATCTGGAGTATTGAATTACTGCAGCTTTATTAGTTGAGGAATCTGATGCTAATCCTCTTGAAGCCAATGGCAAAACTCCTTAACGTTAATGTGAGAAGGAGCACACCTACTCTCTTTTTGCAAAGGCATAATCATTTCAGCCCTTGTCGTAAATTACAGCAATCTCAGGACTACTCTAGTTTATGTTAGTTTTTAACTACCCCCCATTACAGTGAAATGTGGTCTGGCTGTGCTCTCTCCCTTCTTTTAGTGTACCCCTACAGCAGGGGAAAAGATGATGTAAGGCAAAGCTGCCTTTGTCTGCTTTGCACCAGCCAAGGATTCCCACACACCAGGGGAATCTTCAGCTGTCATAAGCAGCCCTTTGTGCTGCCAGAGCAGGGCAGTTGTGTCCCAGTGACTGGTTATAATTGGGTTTAAAATTTGCTAGCTCTTATTCTCTATTTCAAATGGGTGACTGTTCTCAAGGCTTGCTTTCATTGTCCAAAAATATTGCATTATAATAAAATAAAAATATTTAAATATATCTTTTTGTTAATGAATCAAAAGATTCTGAAGAGTATTTTGTTTAATATCTGTGACATTTGGAATGCATGTGATGAGAACCATGGAATGCACTGCATAAGAACTTTGTATTCCATACATTCAGTGTTGAAATTAGTATTTTAAGAATCCTGAATATTTCTGTTCTATTAATGGATATGCACTAGAGTCTTCTAGTAGCCAAATTATTGCCTCTATCTTTCCACTAAGTTAGCCAAAGATTATAGTGGATAAAGAGCTCATTCCTACATCCTTCTAAAGTCACTGGTAGTTCTGCCACTGACTTCCCAGGGAACAATATCAGCCCCTAATTTTCTATCTGATGTTTCAAGATATTGTGTTCAAGTCTTCTTCAAGCTGTACATCAATTTTTATTGATTTCTTATTTTATTTCTGTCAAATCAATTAGAAATGCATTGTTCTAGATCCTTAGAGGGGTCCAGGGAGCCAGTTGCACCCCAGATCTTGGGGCTGTTTTTACCCCATCTGTGTGAAGCTTCTTTAGCTGGTAACTGATTCCGAGGAACCATCTGTCAGCTGGAGAGCTACTTTGATGCATCTGTAATCTTACTGACAACACACCTGTAACCATTTATGTCAGAGTTTTCAGGGGCTTTATGTAGGAACCAGCTGTATGCTTGCCAAGAATTCCTCCAAATGGAGGGAATACCTAGCGAGGCTTAGTAGGATTCAAAAAAGGCATAGACTTTTCTATGGATAGTGAGAACTTCCACAGTTACATTGGTAAGGTGGTTTGTTTGTTTGTTTGAAAGGATATAGAGCTTCATGGTACAAGCCAACTGTGAATTGTTGTCTATTAGAAAGAAATTCCACTAAGGGCAATTTATTCCATAATTGTCTACTGCAGGATTTCTTGCTGCTTCCTCAGAAGTAGGAACTATTGACCAGTGTCAGAGACAGGACACTGAACTAAACAGGCCACTGGTGTGATCCAGTATAGCAACTTCTACAGTATGTTTCTATTTAATTTTTTTTTTAAGAAATAGCCAAGCCATATCACATTAGAAATGTGATAAGTGTTTGAGTGATAAAGTTAAACAAAGCACAATTATGTCTAATGTGGCCCTCAGTTCCATTTCAGAGCTCCCACCTCTGACTCATAGATCCTTAGAAGGGTCCAAATTTGCCCTCATTTTATCTAGTTTAACTTGGTCATTTTTAAAGCTAAGTGTTTTGTAATGTGGCCACTTATTTTTGTAGGTAAAAAGTTTATAGAGTATGTCTGCACACTTCTTCTTCTTACTTGCCATTCTTATATAAGAACAATCTGAGTCGGACACAGTTTTACTGCACGTGCTTTCTGAAATGACCCAGCTTTTAGCTGTAATGATAAAATACAAAATACAAAATCTGCTATACAAAACTGTGTTAAGGCAATTTTATCTAACCATTGTCTTTTGTATTGCTACAGTTTTATTAAACTTTTGATATGATAGCATCTAAACTGCTCACTGGTGCCTGCACTGTCATGTAGTAGAGATTTCAGACATGGAAGGAATGGATAGCAGTTGGATTATGGAGTCTTTAACATTTAGGTTGCCATTCAAAATCCAGCCCAGGTTGATACTGAGCAAATGCTATTGCCAGCTGATGGCTGTTCAGTAACCTTTCTGCAGTGAGTTGGTGATCTTGGTAAGTTAGTTCCAGCTGCTAGTAGGCAGGTGTCCTCACCACAATAATCACCAATCCAATTGGCTCCCTCAGTGGTGGGTTCTGTCTGTTGTCTCTCTGCTGAGCCTATCTACCCTCTCACTCTTAGAAGTGTTCTCTATGACAGATTTGAGGTATGTTGGTAGAACGCTGTGGGAAGGTTTGAACTGCCACTATCCACATTGTACTTGTTCTGTGGATAAATAGGGGCTTTATAGCTGTGGGTCTGGCATAACTAAAAATGCCTTTAAAACAAGTCTGAAAGGTAAAAAATAGATATTTCAAACTGAACTGATTTAATGTCTCATCTATCCTTTTGCAGTTGTTGTTGTCATTCTCGTAGAGCTTGTAATGCAACATTGCAATTTCTAGTATGCAGAAAATGCTCTTTGCCTCTTCCATTTTTAATATAGCTGGATTCACTTTGTAGTTGATCATATGTACAGTGCATGCAACATCTTAAATATAGACATGGGGCCTGTACCTGCTCCCACTGAAGTCAGAAAAATTTCTACTGACTTTCATGGTGCAGGACCAAGCCCTTAGAACCTGATCCAATAAATAAAGACATACAGGTCATGATTCAGCAAAGTACTTAAGTATGTGCTTAATTTTAAGAACATAAATAGTCTCATTAAAATCAGTAGGAGTTAAGCACATATTTAAACCTAGATTACTAACCTCAGGGGTTCAAAAACATGACTCAGGCCACAAAAGTCATGAAGCTGGCTTAAAAATCACAAGATTATAAAATTTAATGTATTTTGGGTTTTCTTTGTTTTGCCTTTTTTAAACTACTATCAATCTTGCTTAGTTGTTCAAGATTTAGTTATACAAGCATAAAAGAGGCAGCACATACTGTATTAAACCCCCAATAATTATATTTTAAACAGCTTTACTTTCAGATGAGATCAAGACAGAACTACATGTATCCCATGTTGCTTTTTGTTTCCCATCTTTTCTTCGCTTCAAATCCCCAGGCAAGCTTCTTTTTCTTTCGAGCTTCTTGGGAAGCCTCCGTATCTTGCTTGGCTTTTACAAAGTTGCGACAAGCAACAGCTTTAGCAATTTTCACGCCGAGCTCACGAGTGGCTAATCTATTACTCAGTTCCTCTGCTCTCTCAATATCCCCTTCAGTCACAGACTTGTCTATGCTGACTTCAAGACCAGACTTTTGGGCAGCCTTGTTGCTCACAAGAGATTCAAACCTATCATTAATTCCAAAGTATTGTGAGAGTTCCTTCCATTGACCTTCATTTGAAGACTGTTGACTTTCAATCACTTCTTTTATGCTCTTTTTCAGTTTTTCTTTTCTGTAACGTTTTCTCTTTTTCCCCCTGTTTCCCTGATTTGTTTGGACTTTCATTTCCAAGTTTTTCTTCTGCAGCTCCTGAAATTTATTCCACATTTTTAAAGAAACTCCAGAAGGGCATTCTTAACATTCATTTTGTCCATCTGCCACTGCTATAGGAATGGATTTACTTTCAATGATACTCTCAGGTCTATTTGTCTGAAAATCAGAAACCTGAACTCCTTTGACATCCTCATCTCCTTTATCTTCCTTGGAGCAAGATATAGGGCCATCCGCTGGGTCTCCATCATCAGAACTCAAGTCAACATCATTTTCATTCACACCAGGAGGCAACAGCCCACTCCACATCTTTCAGTCTAAAATCCGCCGTGTTTTTGAGCATTAGGGGTCACATTTCCAGACTTGTTTTCTGCAGTCATTAGGGCTGGAAACGGTTCTTTATTTTATGAAAGCTGTTATCTCATTGCATGAGGAGTTTTTAACCACATTGCTTGAGGGGCTTTAATGAAAACACCAAATATCATGAGACTCATGGTAAAATCACAAGAATTGGCAGCACTATTAAGCATGTTGCTAAATCAAAGGCTTAAATAACCAGAGTGGGAAATCCCAGAGATCAGTCAGCTTGTTGCTGCGAGCTAACAAGATAAAAACGTTTGAACAGGTCCTTGAAGTGGTGTCTACTAAATATAGATGCAGACAGCTTTAATGAATATTTCATCTAAAAGACCTTACTAATTAAGATACACCTCTCAAGTGAAACCTGGAAAATTACCATTGATAATTGTGCTGTTAAAAATGTGCATCCTTGCATCTCTGAAATAGCTGTGTAGTAAAGGTGTGCACTCTGTGAAGGAGAGAGCTTTTGATGCATTCCCTGTGCAATCCTAGCCCATCTCTGCAAGCATCGGAGACTCTTAAGGAGGCAACACTAAGGAAATTGCTTTTGTGGTAGGAGACAGTATACTCCTGCATTTCACGGAGCATAGCTCCACAAGTGGACCTTGTGCCCGGTGAGGACGGTGGCTCGGGGTACACCATGGGGAGGGCAACACCAGCATACAACAGCCTAAATCATTCATGTAGAGCAGCCTGGCAGCTGTGGGGTTACCCTGAAGCAGAGGGTGTCTGTGTTGCTCTGTGCCTGGGAGACAAGATGTCCACTTGCCATAATCACCACAAGCTTCGCTGTGAGCATTCATTTCATTCAGACAGTGTGTTGGCAACAAGTTTTGATCCTAAAGCAGGTCCCACTGGATTCACAGCTGCTTGGGTCCAAATGTAATATAAGGGCCAAATGTATTGTTTAACCTTTCTCTGAGACTGTTCTCTTTGCGGGGGATGGAGGGGAGGAATAGTTGTATTGTTCTAGAGTATTTTAACAAAAAGACACATCCCCAAAAATCAAAGTATAGTAAGTACTGGATTTTAACAAAAAGGAATATTTACTTTTTTAACATGAACCTTTCATGGTCAAATAGGAATGCAATGCAGGACAGCCGACTTACAGCTATTGAATGCAGTGAAGTAGAATGAAGGTGCCAAGCTGCTTCAGTTTAATTCAGTGTCCATATGTCAGTTTAATAATGAACCTCTGCTTATAAGGCAATCCTCAGACCAGCCGCTGGGGAGATGAACAGGGTGCCCTGCCCTCAGCCCACCCATGCCTCCACCACCACCTGCAGAGACCCGCTGCTACGTCCGTATAGGCAGCAGATTGTGCTGGTTCCACTGCACCTGTGGAGGTGGAGAATTTGCCCCCTAATGAAGTGATTCTATGGGGGGTGGGGTTCTTCAGCCAAAGGCTTCCACCACTTTAGATGATAATAAAAGTATATTGACTAAATAGCACAGATAAATACCTCTGCTGTTGTACCAGCTGATTTTTGTTGTTGTGTCTGAGTTTTATATAACAACTGCTTATCTCCAGAAACAAAACACAAAAAATACATAAATAAAAATAGCATTACATCTTTGAGAAGGAACAGCTGAGACACCAGCTAGTGAAAGCTCCCCCTCAAAGCACAGAAATTTAGTAGAAGTATTTATGATAGAGTAATTATGTTTCTATCTTTTAGGTACCACGATCAACAGGATGTTACTAGCAACTTCCTTGGAGCTATGTGGTTGATTTCAATAACTTTCCTTTCCATTGGATATGGTGACATGGTACCTAATACATACTGTGGGAAAGGAGTCTGTTTACTTACTGGAATAATGGTAAGCGTCACTGATTTTCTTCACTAACTTTCTCGTGTATTCAGTTAAGTCTAGCATAAGATTGTTAGCTTTAACACAGCACTTCTTGGTGGTGATATAAAATGCTTATCAGTAGTTTTGTACAGTACATGGGTTACTTTGGGCCACTCCCAAATCTTTCATTCTGACAGTAACTGAGAGCATTCGCCTTCTATAGGTAAATGCAGAGCTTTATCATAAAACACGGAGAAATCGAATCTAACATGCTGTTATCTGAGAATCAGAGTCTCAATAAAGCCTGTTTCTAAAGGTTACGATATAGCGACAACACTTATGGATCTTGCTTTGTGTTTGGGCATATGTAAGTAGATCAGTAATAATAGCAAAACTATAATGTCTATACCTGTCTCTTAAAATTTTAAAGTTATTTAAATATATAGAAAAGCTACTGTAGCTAGTCTCCCATAGCATGTTTTACTGTGCATGAATTTTCTAAGGTAGTCCACATATATATATATATATAATTGCTTTTAAGTAGGTTTATATAATATGTCTACCATAAGTGCAATGCTAATGTGGTATTGGTTACTATATTATTATACTATATTACTAGGGTTGTACCGAATGCCTAATTTTAATATTTGGCTAATGCACTATAACTGACCGTGGTATTTGGTTAAAGCCAAATAATGGATAGAGCAACAAATGACTGTCACATGTATTTAATTTGATCTTATTTTGCTGCAGAATGTTAGCAATAAAGGGCTTGACCCTGCAATTCTTATTCATGAAAGCGTCCATTAAATGTAATGTAAGCTGGCCCCAAATCAGCACCAATGGTAACCCAACTTCATATATTGTAGTTATATTTTTCTATTATTTTAATAACTTTCTAGTCTTGTGTTCACACATAATAAAAAAATACAGCTTGAACACCTGCCTTTCATTAAACAGGTGTTGGGATTTTGGCTCATACCTAATGATAACTAAGGGTTGTTTTCTAAAAGTTGCCTTTTCTGTACAGATATTCTGACAAATAAATTCATCTGAAAAGAATTCCTTTTTCTTTGTATATAATGATATATATTTCTGTTTCTAAAATGTGAAGTAGACTAATGCACTCTTGAAGGCTTGGAGACTTTATGCCAACTGGTCTTTTACTTATGATAAATTTCTTGTCATTAACTTAGAGTGGTTGAGATAATAAGAAAGTCTCCATGCCCTTTTAGCAAAGTTTGCTGATAGTGGCATATACAGATTGTTTTGAAATACAGTTTGCAATTTAGTCTTAAAAGACAGTCTGGAAGAGGTGAGGAGTGAAAAAGAAAACTTCCATAGAGTGTATCAAAGCAAGTTCAAATTTGCCATCTTCCAAGGTGCTCGACTGTCCTCCTCAGTACAAGATGGGTTCTGATACCAAGGAGGGGGCTCAAAGAAGAATTTGCCATGGGGGAATCTGACATGAGCAGTGTAGGAAGAAGAGGGGAGAAAAGCATTAGTGTGGGGAGAAACTGGAAGGAAATAGTCCCCCACTCCCTTTCAGAAATGAGAAGCAACAGCAGCTGATTGGTTCATGCTACAGTTACTGAGAGGTACATTGCCTTTTCCTAAGTGCTTGAAGAATTGCTGAGCCAAACTTCGGTTTTAAATTAATCTGAATATGCATTCAATGCAAATTTTGGAATATGATTGATATTTGCAATATGAAAAATCCTTTTGTGCAGAGTAAATTTTATACAGAACTCTTATGATGGGCTTCCTAGCCTCAAAAAGGGGTGGTAAGTGCACTCACACTGGCTCTGATCTCATGTGGGTTTCACACGAGTACAACTCCATTGACACCAATGGAGTTAGCACTGATTTGTGCTAGCATAGCTGAGATCAGCATTAGGGCCTCTTTTCGAAGACTTTGATGGTTAAGGGTCTGCTGTATAACTGTAATGTGGTAAGAACATAGTAAAAATAAAATCATTAAAAACAGACTCCAAATTGTTGCAAGTATCATTCTCCATACTCATGAATTAATCACACTCAAGACTGGAATGATAAGCAATATTTGTCACTTTACTTATGAGAATGTGATTCTACTGCAAGCATAAAATAGTTTGCCATAGTTGCTTCTACTGTATTTGGTGAAAAATGAATTAAATTATCATTTAAGATTTGGTGTTTGCATATGCAAAGTTACACACACAGTTGGAGGCCAGGCCAAGCAAGACCCTTTTTGATAATTTGGCCTATAAAATGCAGAGAGAATATGAAGAACATAGTCAAAGGCATGAAGTAAATAATTAAAAATTCTCCAAATACATTAAAAGCACTGAGGCTTCAAATGTGACTGACACAGTCAGTCTCAGTTAGCATGGTGATGAGTGTGATATGAACACCTAGAGCAGTGGTTCTCAGCCAGGGGTCAAAGGCCCCCTGGGGGGCCATGAGCAGGTTTCAGGGGGTCTGTCAAACATGGCTGGCATCAGACTTGCTAGGGCCCAGGGCAGACAGCCGAAGTCCTGCTGCATGGGACTGCAGCCAAGACCCTCAAGCCCTACCACTAGGGGCTGAAGCTGAAGTCTGAGTAACTTAGCTTTATAGGGCCCTGGACAATTGCCCTCCTTGCTATCCCCTAATGGCAGCCATGGCTTTTATATGCAGAAAACAGTTGTTGTGGCACAGCTGGGCCGTGGAGTTTTTACAGCATGTTGGGGGAGGGGGCGCCTTCAGAAAGAAAAAGGTTGAGAACCCCTGACCTAGAGAAATGGACAGACTGTAAACACTCTAAACCAGTGTTTCTCAAACTTCAATGCACTGCAACCCCCTTCTGACAACAAAAATTAACAACCCCAGGAAGGGGGACCAAAGCCTGAGTCCGCTTGAGCCCCACCACCCCAGATGGTGGGGGGAGGAGACAAAGCTCGAGCCCCACCACCCTGTGCATGGGGGTGGGGAGGCAAAGCCGCTCCAGGCAGGGGGCTCAGGTTACAGCCCTTGGACTTTGGCTTCAGCCCAATGCAGTGAGGCTCGGGCTTCAGCTTTGGCCCTGGACCCCAGCAAGTGTAACACCAGCCCTGGTGATGGGGTCGCGACCCACTTTGGGGTCCCAACCCACAGTTTGAGAACTCCTGCTCTAAACTAGTGAAAAGGAGAGAAGCAATTGAAAAAAATGGTGAAGCTAAA